GTCAGAAAAAACCCCTGAGATTATCAGGGGGGGCTTCAAAAAAATGAAAGGAAAAAATAAGGAAATCATCATAGCCCACCCTCTTGATAAATTATGAATGCTCCCTAAAGAGAAAATTGAGTTTGTACGTGCTTCTCGCAAGCCTGTGGCAGAAGTTCTAAGCTGAAAAGCACATCAACATTAGCGCAAACCGGAAATTGTGTAAGCTTGTTCTTGTTGTTGTGCGGCCAGGTAGATAAGTAGGAATCCCAGTATTTTACATTCTGTAAATACCAAGTAGCGTAACATAAGCACTCGAAAAAAAAAAAAATTAAGCAACCTTTGCCTATACATTTAACCAAATGCACCATTTTATGAACAGCTTTGAAACCCTGCTCTCCACACATTTCTTAGTAAAATGCCGCAAAGTGACCAAATGACCCCAAATAAGCTTGCATAAGAAACACAATCACTCATCAGCTTTTTACATGTCTAACGTCATCTTGGCACGCGTTGATTATTTTCAGGATATATGTTATGGAAACCTTCAAACACGACGAAAATTTGTTAGCGAACGTGACTTTCCCATACAAAACTCTTATGCTGGTCAGGTTCATTGTCTGAGTCACAGCAAGGACCAGAAACTTGTGAAGTCATAAGTGCAAAGTGCTATATCTTATAGTGCGTTCGCCAGATCGTATTCCGGAATAAGAATAAGCGAAAGTTTTGTTGCAAATCTGTAGTACCCAGATTTTTGAGGAACTTAAACATTACATAGATCGAGAAATTTATTTTAAGCAGATGTCTAGCTATTGCAAAACAATAAGCGCCTTGCCTGCGTGGCAGGCGCAAAACTCTGCCCCATACCCCTCCGTTTTTCCTTTCCTCCCTATTCCCTACCTCTACCCCTTTCGACGCCTGGTACGCAGGCTATAAGCACCTAAATAAGTGATTTTTAAAGGTTTTTCGCTTTATTCTTATTCAGGAAAAAGGTCAATCGAACGCGCTCTTACTGGTGTTATTTATTTATCATTAATAAGTGCCTGTTAAACCTGTTACTGGACAAGAAACAGGAACACAACACAAATGAACAGGCTACAGTATGAAAATAAAAATTCATCACGTGTAATCTGATCAATTAATTGATTGCCAAGTCTTACCTTGACATGAAGCCAATGTTTTGAGCGTAAACAAGGTAAGATTTAGAGCGTAGTGGGTGAGTGAACATTATTCCTTCTGGGAAGTAACAGTAAGCTAAACTAAATTACAAGAAACTTATAACCGCATCGGGTCATTGGCAATACGTTAGAGCCTTCCATGAGCATGTTCAGTGTGTCTCTTCAAATTTACTCAAGTTTCAGTTATTATTATTATT